GAGGGCCAGCTCTGCAGAGTGACCTTGCGTCCTCAAACCTGGATGGGGGGTGGGGTCTCTGAGGTGGCAGCCATCCACGGCCAGAGTGACAGCTTTGTCCTCCTCTGAAATAACGGAAGCATCTCAAAGGAGAAGAAACGCTCACTTCATCGAGCACCTGCGTGTAAGACGCTTTCAGTCCTTCGCGCCGTTGCCCTGAAGCAGCCTGTGTGGTCGTAGTTACCGGCACTGCAGGAACACCCAGGCTTGCAGGTGGGGTGTGAGGTGCCCCAGGGCGGACCCCAGAGAAGCCCCAGCTGTGCCCCACACTGGCCCCAAGTCCCATCCCAGAAGGCAGACACACAGGCACAAACCCAGGTGACGCTGCGAAGAACCGCCAGCACGGAAGTTCCGTCATTTCATGCTGCCCGCAAGCAGTGAACACAAGGCTGGGCTTGTTCCCACCCCCGGTGCCTGCGCCCCGGCCTTCTGGGGGTGACAGACGGCCGTCCTTCCTGGTTGCTCAACTCCTGGTGTACCCTCCGATGGCGGGGATACCGCTTTCCTGCTGTATGTGTTCCCAGGGTGGCATGAGCCCTTGGGTGTCTTTGTGAGGACCCCTGTAAGGCAGACTCTGCCCCTCACCCGCATCCAGGCACCCTGAGGCACGGCCCCCCATGGCGGGGTCCTGAGTCCCCGCCTTCCACTGGAGTGACCAAAGCGCACAATTTCCCAGCCTCCCTTGCAGCTAGGGTGCTTCTCTGGTCAGTGCACGCATGCCAGGCCAGAGATCTGCCCAGGGACTTGGTCCTTTTTGGCCAAAGAAGTGGCCACCATGCCCAGCTTCCAGAGGGCACAGTGCCAGACGCCCCCACACTGGGACCCAGGGACTGCAGTTCTATTCTCTTCTGGGGGTCCAGGTGTGGTCTCCAGCCTGGCTCTTGGAGCTCCCAGGAGTTCCCCGATCTCCTTTAAAAATGCTCCTTTCTGGCCAGGTGTGATGGCTCACGCCTGTAATCCCAGCACTTTGGGAGGTTGAAGCAGGAGAATGTTTTGAGGCCAGAGGTTTGAGACCGGCTTGGGCAAGGGAGCAAGACCCCATCTCCACCAAAATAATCATAATTTTAAAAATTTCTCCCAACCTGGGCAACTTGGCGAGACCCCGTCTCTACAATAAAACAAAAAATAGCCGGTTGTAGTAGCACGCACCTGTAGCTCCAGCTCCTTGGAAGGATGAGGCAGAAGGATCACCGGAGCCCAGCAGGCCGAGGCTGCAGAGGCCTGGGTGACAGATGGAGACTCCGACTCAAAAAAAAAATTTTTTTTCATAGAGACTGCAAGGGTCTTGCTCTGTTGTCCAGGCTGGTCTCCACCTTCTAGGCTCAAGCCGTCCTCCTGCCTTGGCCTCCCCAAATGCTGGGATCACAGGTGTGAACCACTGCACCCAGCCCACGGCTTGAGTGTCTAATTACAAAATGAAAAACAAGCTACAAGGAGGAGGGACACAGCCCTAGGGCAGCCACGAGGCCAGGAAGGGCTTCCCTGAAGACCCTTTGGAGCTGAGGAATGCACCGGAGGAGGGGGCCGAGGAGAAGCCTTCTACATAGCGGGGAAGCAAGTGCCAAGGCCGCGTGGCAGGAAGGGCGAGACCAGGGTCTGTGAGGCTGGAATAGACGGAGCAAAGGACAGACCACGCGCCTCGATTCTGTTCCTGCAGCATGAGGTGCCTGGAAGTTGTGAGCAGTGGGGTGACGGGATCAGGGTTGTCACCTGGTCCCTCTGGGTGCTGGGGGGAGAATGGGTGTGGGGACAGGCGTGGGAGGGGCAGTCCAGCTGGAGGGAAAGGGCTGACCTTCCGGGGAGAGACCGAGGTGGCTGCTTGGGGGTTGTGGGGTGGAACGGGTGAGACCGCAGGCAGGTGAGGAAGACGCCGAAGGTAAGAGCCAGGGAGGGCGCCACCCAGCGCCTGCGTCCACAGGCTGCCGTCCTGATCCCTTTGGTTTGTGGCCCTGATGAGTCATGTGCAGCCACTGCCCCCCACAGGAGCTGGTTCCTTTTTTTTTTTGCGTTGGAGTCTCACTCTGTCACCCAGACTGGAGTGCAGTGGCCGCTCCCGGCCCCCGCAGCCTCGATCTGCTGGGCTCCGGCGAGCCTTCCGCCTCAGCCCTCCGAGTAGCCGGAATTACAGGCATGAGCTACCACGCCTGGTTGATTTTTTTGATTTATTGTAGAGATGAGGTCTCGCTGCCCAGGCGGGTCTTGAACCCGCGGGCTCAGGCCATCCGCTCACCTCAGCCTCCCAAAGGCGCGGGATGACAGGCTGAGCCACCGAGGCCGGCTGGGTTCCTTTTTAACAGTGAACTTGTTTTGAACCACTGAGCCATGATGTCACGATTTCCCAAACACAGTCCTGGGGAAGGCGGAAAACACCGTTTAATGCACGACTCTGCACCGTGTGGCTCTCACCGTGCCCCGTGCCAAGGTGCCATGACTGCCGCAAGCTGGCCCACTGCGGGCTGGGGTCTGGCTGTTGACCCTCTCGTGTGTGATTCTGATGCAGAATGCCCCGGCACGGCTCCCCAGGGCATGAGCAGCATGTCGGTGCCGGTGCCAGGCAGTGACGCTTGACTCAGGGAGACCCTGAGATGGTGGCCAGCACAGCCCGGGGCAGGAGCCACGCACGGTGGGGCGGCTCGCAGGGTAGACTCCGGCTGACCCGGCATAGGCTTCTGTCTCCGCAAAACAGCAACCGTGTGTTCACGTTCTTGCAGCACGTGCCTGCTGTTTGGATGATGCACCCCCAGAGTCCCTTTTTCTGAGGATCTGCTGTCAAGCAGGCTGGGGCAGCATACCCGGTTTCAGAGCAAAGGGGGCCTCTAGTCCACACTCGCGCCCAGACCCCCATGGGAGACCGGGCCGCCCTCCTCCCTCTTCACCTCTCCGCTCCTGTGGCCACCTCCTGAATACTTCTGGAGTCCACGCCTTCCTCTCCCACCCCCTTGGTCTGCCCTGGCTCGGGTCCGGCTCAATCCAGTTCCCAGTCCCTGTCGCCACCCCCTGGCCACCGTGCATGCCACCGCAGGCCGGGACCATTTCCACCTGGTTTTTCTCCTCCTTTCCTCTTCTACTTGACTGACTTCCATCTGCCCTTCAAGACTCAGCTGGGAAATCACCCCGGGGAAGCCCTTCCATCCTGCCCTGGGATCCCCGGCCCCTGGGCTATGAGTCTTTCCTTGGGGGTGCTGCAACTCAGCTTAGGGGGTGATTCCAGACTCCACGGTCAAGCCCAGACGGCCCCGGGGCCGGGGACAGCAGCTCCGCAGTGGGCTCAGGGAGGCTGTGTGGAGGGAGGGGCGGCCCAGGCATGGAGGGCAGGTCCCTGGGGCTGTCCCGGGGAGCAGCACCGATTCTGGCACTAAGGACCAGCACACAGGGACACAGAAGTCTGGGCGCTTCGGACTCCTCGCTGATCTTTGGACCCTGGGAGGACTCGTTCACCTTTTCTTTCAGGAACCCCAGCGGCCCCTGCGCACGCGACAGTCTGCGGGCGCGACATTGCCCCCAACACTATCGGGCCACATCGGGACACGTGGTCGCCTGAGGTGCCGGGCAGTGAGCTCCCGACGTCGGACCGGTGATGCCCGAAGATCCAGGCTAACACTGTGCGTGGTATTCAGCAGGTGCGCAATAAATGCTTGCGTGAGTGGGTGGGCCGCGAGTCAATGAGCCATTCGCGGGTGCCAGGGGGTGGTAAGTAGTGGTCAGAACGGGTGGCCAAATGATCTATCTGCGCTGTCGGATCTTCCAGCAGGCGAGGCCTGCCCTTGGAAAGCTGTCTCCGAAGAGCCTCACTCCAGCCTGGCTGCTGATGGGGAGGGCAGAGGGGCAGAGGGGCAGAGGGTGCTCAGGCCTCCTGCAGACGACGGCCGAACAAGGGCCCTGCGTGGCCTCCGCCCGGGGTCTGGAAGCTTCTGGTCGGGGTTCCCAGCCCACACGGCTGGAGCCTGGCCAGCAGGAGGCCAGGCAGACCAGAGGCAGGGACAGAGGCAAGGGGCCCAGCCGGACCACAGCCCTCTCCCAAACCCTCCTGACTGGCTCACACGAGGCTGGAGAGGGGGAGAAACAGGAAAGCCAGAGGCTGGGCTGCTGACGGTGGGGTCCCAGGCAGGGTGGGGCAGTGCTGGGGGAAGGGCCAAGGAGCCCCGAGGGGCCAGAGGCTACAGAGAAGGGCACCACGCTGCACTCCCTGCCCCACCACCCAGCCCCCGCCGAACGGCCAGGCTAGGGGCTGAGGCTGGGCAGGGGGTCCAGGGCAGGCTCGCAGCCCACAGGCAGTGTGGCCGCCTCACTGGGCGGGATGTGGTGGGTGGTGTAGCGCTTCCCCGTGAAGGAGCCGATCCGCAGCTGCTCGGGGCCCTCCTCCGGCCGCCACAGGCTGGAGCTGGATGGGGAGAAGAGGCGGGGAATGGCCCTGCCAGGCGGGGTGGCTGCCAGGCCAGGGCCTGCGCCCCCTCCCAGCTGCCTCGCCTACAGCCCCGATGCCACCATCCTTCTTTCCAGAACCAGCTGGCGTCCCTCCTCCTCCAGGTAGCCACCATGACTCCCCGGGCATCAGTTTACTAAAGCGCCAGTGGGCCCACCGAGAGAAGACAGCCTACCCGGGCTCGGTGGCTCAGCCTGTCATCCCCCGCCTTTGGGAGGCTGAGGTGAGCGGATTGCCTGAGCCCGCGGGTTCGAGACCTGCCTGGGC